ACGTTCGGCCGGTTCTAAGGTAAGATTTGAATTCCCGTGGCGCCTTAACGCCTCGTTGAATCTGTGAGCTCTTTAAAACAGAGGAGCATTGTATTCTTGGGTAGTATTGAGCACAAATAAAAAGGTAATCAAATATACACTCGAGTCACTGAGAGCTTGTTATTCTGGAGCGCCCTGCTTCGTGATTTTTTAAATCGGCGTTCGTATCAAATAATGCCTCAATCTCGCTTGAGGTGACATAACCAAAGGCAAGCACACGCCACGTTCTTCGTTTCGTTAGTAGTACATCGCTTTAATGGCAATTTCGATGAGCGGTGGTAAAGAGCGAAGCAACCTAGACGCGAGTGTTAACGGATACCGTGAGGGCAGTTTGCCTCTAAGGTATGGCGATACTGTTTCATGCTGTATATACTTGCTTTCACCTTAAGTACAGATGCAGCCGACTCTACGGGCTGATAGAAGCAATCAGACAGCGTCTAAAGCGCACCATCATGATGTCCGTCATGTTTCAGTATGAATAATATTATCGCTGAACTAATCATAAACAAAAAAGGCCCAGTAACCTGCACTCTTGACGCTGCTTGATTGGTCTAGGCTGTGCCTGGGCTTAAGCTGAAACGAAGTATAGACAAAAAATTGAGAAAGAGCGGCACGACACCACGCTGTGGATTTGAACGTACCTCACTTATTAGTGACGCACGAACACGTGTCAGTACTACGGTCATTTAGATAGAAAATGATCGGGGCGTTTCGCTCCTTTGATGTATTTATTTTGTCAGGGACACCTCGACATTCTGTATGTTGTTGGCAAACTTTTTTAAACGTTGAACCTCGCTACCTATGTTCTCCATTGCGGACACTCGCTCTAAGAGGTCACATATATAATTAAGGCTCTCGATTAGTTGATATCACGCCTCCTATGCTGGAGCTAAAGCAACGATTGCAGGTAGGCTGGCCTAATTATATAGTCACTAAAAGCTTGAGAAACGCAAAGGGTGTGGGCTCGTATGACCACGCTTCTCGCTTTGTCATTGGTTCTCCTGCGCTTTCGTCGGCTGATGCTGCGATCCCATTGGCTGCGGACGGATGATAAGATGCTCGCGACGCCCTACGAGTCATGTCGGGAACTACAGATGCGTTAACGCAAGAAATTGTAGACAAAACGTTTCGTCCCCTTGTCTGTGAGTAAAATATCTTCCGCTAAATCCTCGCAAGGAATGTACTGCGTCAAAAAATGATCCGGCGCCACAACATTTTTCTGCCGAAAATTTTAGTTTTTATTCGCCTAAACAACGTATCTTGCCCTAATTTTTTTGTGTGTTTTTTTTTGTGTTTATTTTCCACGTGTGTTTTCTAATTCAATATTGCTATGGTGCCTAGAGCGCGCCTGCAACTAGTACGTTTCCCGCGTTTTTAAAAACGGCTCCTCGAATTCCGCCTGATGACGTCACAAAGGTGTCCAGAGTCATACATTGGGAGAGTTTGGTCAGTTGGAGGAGCCAGCGGGAGCCGGGGTAGAACGGCAAAAGCGTTGCCCCCGCCGCCAGCGCCACATATTCCACTCGTGATGATCCTGCGAAGTAAAATGAAGCCGAAATGACTTTAAAAGAGCCGCACCCGCGCCGCAAATTTTTTTTTTTTTTTTTCAAGGTGCTGGAGCGTTTACTGAACCAAAAAAGGTGACATTGACGAGAAAAGTTCTCTAAAACATGAGCCGAAACTGCGAACATGGGATGCGCGAACTGGGTTAGGGTCAAAATTCCCAAGGAGTTGTGCCCTCGGCAACCGCTCTCTCGGTCGTTGCTGTGGCTAAGAGTGATTGAGCGCATTCTGAATGTCGCTGCAACGTCAACGTCACGCGCGTTTCCATTTCAGTTACGACGAGTCGCAAATTTCAACTCTAGCTTGCTGAAATAAACTACTCGAAAACATCCTTATCTAAAATTTGTGATCGTAGGGTATTTATTGAGCTCGTTGGTTCCGCTAGGGGAACATTCGTGGCTGAGCGTTGATCACAAGAGCTGCCAATCGGCGCGCCCAAGGTCCTTGAAACAATTACGGCCAATAACGTACCCTTATCTTCGCCCTATTCTTACCAATTAATGACCAAACACTGTACACATAGGGCTCTGAAGGTGTCATGGCTGTCCCAATCCTCGCGGTGGCACAGCGGAGGAGATGGGTGCATGCGACGGACGCCTCGTTTTTGCTGCGGGTCGCTCTACCGCCAAACAGTCGATGGAAACCAAAGCAGACGCGGGGTTTGAAAGCCCCGACGGCAGTGACAACTCCCTTCCGCTCGCTTTTCTCGCCAACGTGACAACCGGCAGCGTGACACGCCGTCTGCCCTGGCGCCGTTTGTTGACCCTTCGGGAGAATTGGGAGCCATTCCAGAACGTACTCTTGTTTCGAAACCTCGACCCAGAAATAGGAGCCTGTTTCGCAAACGCCCCCAACTCAGAATGAGTGTAGGGGCGTAAATGTTGCTCTCAAAACGTATTTTTGTTTCGAGAAGTTCATTCTCTAAATAACGTGTCCCCTCCGCGTATTAACAAAAAAAAAAAAAAGAAGTTAAAAGTAAGTTTTATGAAGTTTAGCGTCTCTGTGAGCAATTCCGAAAGGTGCTTCTATTTCGGGCTCGATGACAGAAATATGTGACTGCTGCGCAATCGCTCCGAAATAGAAATGTCACTGGTGAAGTAAAAACTGCGCTATTTCTTTTTCCCCGGGGAAAGTTTATTTTGAGAAAAAAAATTGTCATATTGGGGTACTTAAAACTTTTGATTGCTGTAGGATCATGAAACTGTCAGTGAATATGCTCTATTTGTTTATTTAATAGTCATCTATTTTAATACTATCGACCCTAAGCAGGGGCCAGAAATATTCCGTTCACCCTTAAGTTGAGACTGCAGCCGATGCCGCAATGACCAGAGCAGGAGAATTCGGCTTTGAAACGTTCGTCACCAGAACGAGTGCTTGCACTAGAAAGGCACGTCTCAAGGCCAGGAACGCGGGAAAGCTCGCGCTTGTAGCTTTGGCTGTAGTATCAGCTTAAGGGTGAACGGTATATAAGGGTGTAAGTTACACAAGACAAGGAAACGCGCGCAAAATACAGATATAAATATTCATTCGTTCATTATTTCTTGAGGGCCCGTTAGGGCATTACACAAAGTGGGGTCAAGAACACACAAAGAATTATCGTTTGAAATGAATTATCACTCACGGAATGGAGATCAGCAATAGCGGTGAATCAAAGAACAACAAAGTACAACCAGTAACCAGTATTACACAATATTGTTAATATTTTTAATGGTGCACACTGTGAATTGTAAAATCGTTCTTGATGAGTTAGAATCGTTCTAAAATACTTCAACGCAAAAAAAAATTTTAAAAAAATAGATTCAAGCATTACTGATCAACATGTCTAAGAGAAGGGAAACAAATTCTTCCTTGCTTCAAGCAGCCACGACACACGTATTGTCTTTACAAACGTTTTTCTCGCCTACATTCCAGATGAAGACCTTTCCAAAAAGAGTTTTCTTCGCGCTGCCATGTTTGCTTCATCGGCAGTGGAACGCCTTCCGAGCATGCGCTGTTGCTCTCCTGTGCGGTATACGAGACGCTGCGCATGCGTCCACAGCTCAGTGACTCGGCACTTTTCGGTCTGGTGATAAGCGATGCAAAGGTCTATACGTCAGCGAGGACTGCAGCCCTCGCAGAACGTTGACACATCGCTCGTTTTCAAAATCTCGGTATACAAGTAATTTCTTTGTAAAGCAACCTGTCACCCGAAGTTGGATTGACTCATCGAGAACGGAGGGGTGGATGAGAAACTATTCTTTCCATGAATCAAAATGACTACGATAGGGGAAGCTTGGCGCTACGTCTTGAGGATCCAGTGACTTTGGCATACACCAACACATTGCCAATATACGAACGTGCGTTCACGTAAAAACAGAGGCCATTGCCCATCTGCGAAAGGCAATTTTTTTGCCCTCATGCAAAAGGGAATTACTTTCACACTAAACGAGCTCGCGTGTTCGAGAAGCCCGTTTGAAGTATGGAGCTCGCTCTTGCGGCTTCTACTACGCACATATTTAAAGTGGCACGGGTCCGCGCCAAATGCCCATAGTTTGCACTTGAAGCGTCGCAAATGTGCCGCCGACGTAAGTGACGTAAACAAATAGAGTTAGTGTATGGGCGTCTTGCACGATTTCATGATGCAACGCACCTTCCGGCTCGATATTGTGAGCCGGAATCCACATTTGTGACTTTCATCTGCGTTCCTCCAATGTCTTCTTACGCGCGGACGCCAAGGAGCGAGTGTTTCCGAGTTCAGTTGAGTTCCTCGGCGTCAATTAGGACGTCAAAGGAAAGTCGGACTATTCCGCCAACCAGAGAAGCCCGGAACATGAAGGAGCATCGGCTGGTACTCGATTTTGACACATAGCGGTCTTCACTCGGAGTTAACACCTGCCGGTGCTCAAGAAGTTGGGTTCGCGGTGGCCAAAACAAACCCGGCAAACGCCGGCAAGTGAAGTGAGTCCGAAAAAAAAATTAAAATGCCGGTGTATTCTTGGCTTTAACCGTCTTACATGTGTCCCCGACCGCTCGTCTGGCGTTCTGTCATTGCAGAGCTATCTGCTTGCCTCTGCGTTTTACCAAGATGCTGACACAAACAATCGCTTACGAGCAAACGAATAGGAAAAATGGTGGGAAGTGTCACCTGCAGTGCAGCAGACGGCTCGGTGACATTAGGTTTTGTGGTTTTCAAAGACGTCCAACTAAGACCGACGTCACGTCGCTGGGATGGCGCTGTTGTCGCCACTGCGCATGAGCAGAAGCTTCATCTCACGCGAATCTGGTTCTTGCGCACGCATATTTCCCACACATAGTGCGCATAAACGCGAACTTGTTTCTAAGCAGCGTCTATCTGGTTAGTAAAGAATCCGATGGAACGAACAATTTTGAGCTGACCGATGCTTCGACTTGTGTTGCAGACGATATGGCACCTGGGTCATCGGCCTGGGCCGCTGACTCGTCTATCGACGGCCTGCTGATGCGGCTACGCAAGTCCTCGCTGCAGGCCCGGGCCGCGCCCATGCCGGAGCCCGAGCCCGCGCCCTCGGCCGGCGCGGAGCCCGCGGTCTCGCCCGCGGCCGCCGTCGCAGGGGCCGCGGCAGCCGCCCCTGCGCCACCCAACGCCACAGTGGTTGCGGCCGCCGAGGAAGAGCAGATCTTCGAGGAGATGCTGCACAAGGCCTCCGACGTCACGCACAGTGAGTTCTCGCGACGTCTGCTCCGTCATTCGGTGCGGTGGAGGACCCGGGTGGGGAAGGGCTCAATCTATACACGCTTGAAGGTCCGGCATCAGGGCGCCGCCATCTTGCTCAGATGGGGTGCGCCTGGATGCTTCGTAATCCGAATACGAAGCCTTGCTTAGGCGTCGTAATCGCATTATAACCGCGCCGAAGTGCACCCCAACTGACCAATTTGGCGGTGCCCTGAGACCGGGCTTCCAAGCTTGCAAGCAGGGCATCTGGCCGCCGCCGTGTCTCTGCACGTGCAGGCAAGCACTTGCGATCGCAAGCCTGTCAAGGCGTAGCCTCGTTTATACTCAGAAAGCCTGGAAGTTCGACAACGGACCTATGGAGTGCCCGGTCGCAGATGTGGTGCGCGAGGATCCGGTAGCACAGAGAGTCAAAGAGCCATTTTTCGGGTAATCTGGACGTTTGCGCACAGCTTTTCCGCGAGGACCGGGAAGACGCTTGTTCGCTCAGGAGAAGTGTGTTTCGGCGTCTCGCCGCAGCTGGGCGCCAGTCACGTGGCTCTCGTCTCATCCGTTGTCTGCCGCTCAACTATGTCTCGCAGAAAGGCTCAGACTGTGTGAGAATGGGACGCTAGCGGCTTGGATAGAACGCGAAAGTTTGAGAACACGAAGATAATTAAGAAACATTTTTGTATGAGCCGATGTACACCTACGCCTAGTATCGTCAAACCAACAATTTACATCCCGGACGCTTGTAGGCTATATATAGGGTTCGGTGTTTTCAGTTTAAACTGATAAAAACCGAAAAAGGTACGCCGAAATAATTTTCGGAAGTTCAGTTTTAACCGAAAAATGTCAGTTTTTAGGTTCGGTGTTTTTTGGTTTAAACCGATAAGAACCGATAAAAGTCAGCGGAATTCCTTTTGTGAAATTCTGTTTTAACCGAAAATGTCCAGTTCTTTAGGGTCGCGTCGAGACGGATGGGGGGAGGGGGGGAGGGAGAGAGGGCGTTGCAAGGTTCGTCATTGTGTGACCTCTTAGTGATTGCCCTCTTCCAAGGCTCAATATGCAACAAAAAAGGTCTTGGGTTGGCCTTCGCAAGACACCTGTGTCCTTTCTGTGATCGGGCTGTGTGTCACGTTCGGGTGTGGGCTAATATAAGGTTTTTAGCCTCATTCAAAATCTCCGGCCAGAGTTTAGTGAGTACACGAAATATATTGTGCTTCAAAACGTCGCACCGTGTCCCTTTTGGTAGTCACATTTGGCTGATTGGCCGATTTTGGCTGAGGCAACCCTTCATCTCCTTAGGCTGCCAGTGTCCAGTGTTAACGTTGAGAGGGCATTCTCGAAGCCCAGGGTCATTAACAGGAAGGAATGAGCGTGGATCAACGAGGAGAACCTGGGTGGAAAAGTACATATGTATTTACTATAAAAGGATCACGTAATCCTGATGTACAGAAGGTGAAGTTTCATGTTTTTTTGGCACTGACTTGTTTTTACTTCTGTGTTTTTTCGTGTTTTTTTACAGTTGCACACATTTGGCCACATAAAATTTCACCTGTGTGTGTGTTTTTTTTGTGTTTTTTTTATGTATCTGTGCCGTTATTTCTTGAGGGATAACAAATATCAGAGTTACAAGGATCCTCTGATCCGGTGTCCATTGGTGTTTCTTTCATATTCACCGAAAAAAAATGACTGAACTTTTGGGGGCATAAATATACACTGAAAAAAAAAAAACGAAAACTGAATTATAAAATAAAAAAAAAAAGTACGCCGAATTTAAAAAAAAAATAAAATAAAAACCGAAAACGCGGTATCTTAGGTATATATCAATGAAAAACACTAGTCATCAAGAAAGAGCCTGGACCTAAAAATACGGCTCTCTTTTCCAAAAAAAAAACCTGTAAAAAAAAAAGCATTAGAGGGTAGAGTGTCAGCTTTATAGCACACCCGAAGGTAGAGAGTCAAAAACATAATTTTCGTCGTGACGTTTGCAAAAAGAAAGAAAGTAAGAAAAAAAATATATCTTTAATCAAAAATTTTCAAAATGGACAATTCAGCAACTGCAGGATCAGCGCAAACCGATCCAGCTGTTGTTTTCACACGATTATTTAAACGACAGTGCTGCGCAGTATGGATTGCTCGTACGTGACGCCATCCCAAGCAAAACGGTGCTGTTACTCCTGCTGGCTCTTCCCGAGAAAAACAACTTGTGTGTTGCGGAATGTAGTATGCTGCAGAAGGTACGCGCTCAGCAACGAGTTCATCACATACCTTTTCAAACGTGCTCTTCAAGGTCGATGCAAGAAAATATGAGGCAGCTTTGAGCACTAAATGTCAACTTGTCTCTTTTATTACGGTTTCCCTGACTTCCTGGTCCCCCATCCCCATGCACGCAGGCAGATTTTTGGACAAAGTGCAAAACTCTATTTATTTTTGTCTTTATTTTAAAACTAAGAATAACTTAATACACGCGATCGTCGCGGAGTCGTGCTCTTCATTGGGAGAGCAGGCTCGTCTGCTGACTACGTGTTTCTAGTGGTTTCCTTTCATGCACTCGATTTTTTGTATCTTTTTTTTTTATTTCAATAAATAGAGAGGTTACGATAAGTTATTGAGCATATCTGTACTGGCAGGTATGCTCAGTACCTGCCAGTATTCAACAAAACACTACGTCAAAAGGAAACTGAAGTGGTTCTGTGCTGGAGAAAAAAAACACTTAAATCGTCTTTATTCGGCCTCCAGCATCGCAAATATTGAGTTTTTTTTTTTTTTAGTTGGCCGCACGGAGACTGCAGAAATTTATTTTAAAAGTACCGCAGAAGCCGCTTCTTCCCGGAACGTGACGCCTTATCGGGACTTTTCGGAGTCCCCGCTTCCGCGAATCTTCAGCACCTATCAAAGCTATGCACGCACACTGTTGCTATCTTAAAAATGGTAACAAGAAGACGTCACGGCTGGTGTCAGTACCAGGGAGTATACCTGGAGAGCTTGCAATGGCAGGCGCTGCCTACACGAGCGACACGCGCTTGGCAATCGAAAGATGTGGGTATGACGTAAGGACTGTTTGGAGGTTTTTCGTGTAGTCTCACTCTTACGTTTAGTTGCATTTTGGGTGAAAACAAGCGTGATATTCAGATTCACGGGATAAAAATACGCCAGACTTCACCTCTAGCTCGTTTTTTTCCTTTTTTCAAGAACCTCTTCAGCGTCTTTTTTTTTTTTAGGTCAGCGCTGAAACACTATGAGCCAATGGTGTCAATCCATGTTTTCGGAATGCTCTAGTTGACAGAATTTTTTGTGTTTCTATGCGTGCGCTCCCGCAACTAATCCAATTGAGATTGAAGAATAAGGCGTGACATCACTTTTCTTTTGACTGTGCGTTTGTGTTGCATAGAGCATTTGGTCCCGTTCTGACATAAGAAGTAAAAGAGAATAGATAAATCTATAAGAAATAGATCGAACGATCAAAACATCCGTAGTGTGTCAACCAATCGGCAAAATAAATTTCCAGTGACCGGGCAAGAGTGAGCAATGGAGGGTTTCGTCAAACCAAGAGCCGGCCGCTGAAGTCCCATCTCTCCATTTTATTGTTTTGTATATTTGTTTGCAACACATCTCGCGCAGTTTCGGTTTCTCAATTAGCAATTCATTTACAATCGCGTCGTCCGTTGCCCGCATCACCGGAACGCAACGACTTTCCTCGACGTGGCCCTTGCGGATTGATTATACTCTCCGCAAGCAGTGTTGTACGGAACGGCGTTCCAAGGAACGGCGTTCCTGGAACGCGTTCCTTTTAGGAGGAACGAAAGAACGCCGCCGTTTCATTTTGAATCGCTGGAACTGGAACGGGAACGCGTTACATTTTTACTGGAACGGAAGGAGTAACGGCGTTCCTTTTTTTCGCCCAGTGGGGTAATTTTTATTTTGTTTCGAACAGGAAATTTTCGAAAGTACAGAAACAATATCTTTACGAAGTGCAGGATCTCGTTACCTTCTTGGCTACTAATCTTGTGGATTATTTTGTGTGGTCCTCGCTTGCTAACAGTTTTGGGTGCAGTAGACCTGGTGGACATTGATTCTTTTTTAAGTGCCCGGAACTGCGATACAAAAAACAAGGCTTTTAGTCGTAGGACAAGACAAAGAAAGGGGGTTGTTTCAAGCTCAGATACTTTCTTTGGTTCCACGAATACTCATACACCCACAGATCTAAGGCCTACTTCAGCCGCTTGTGAACTTCCATAACGAGACCTACCGTTACAGCAAGATCACAGACTGCCAGACATTGAACGCACACTTGTATCCCGAACATTGGTCACTTAAAAGATACAAAAAAAAAATATTTATTTCTTCTTTTGTCCCCCCCCCCCCCCCCCCCTGCCCCCAACCCCACCTTAAATATGAACAACAAAGCCAACGTTACAAAAAAATATTTGTAGTTTTTAATACTGACCTTCCAAAAGCCCTGCCCTCTCCTTGACTTGCTCGTCTTGCGGACAGCAACATCGAGAAGCAACTGTTGTTAAGTTCGAACAAGGGACTTTGCTCAATTGAAACGTGTGAGGTTGCTGTAAAACGCTCGTACAATGTTGGGTAAAAGTACATTCGGCTCGTCTGAATCGTCCGCTCCAAACATGAATATGGTTAAAAGCTGAGATTTTTAACATAAATATATCAACAAATGAAACCCTGCTTCCACTTTGTTTTCTTCTCCTGTTGCCCTTCCATGACGACATACAAACTCGTATGTTGACTACTCATGGGATAGATAAAAAAACTCTGCTTGATTAAACTAGATATAGTAATTAGCAAAATACAAGTGTAACCCATATGTAACGATACGTTCCATTTTTTAAACTGTAACGGGAACGAGTTCCTTTTTCACAGATGTAACTTGTAACGGGAACGCGTTCCAAAAATCAGAAGGAACGAGGAACGAGCTTTCGTTCCTTTTCTTGAGGAACGTGAACAACACTGTCCGCAAGGGACCTCTCGCCGAGGTTCATGCAG